TTTCCTTAATTGATGAAAATTTCATATCTTGATCAAAAAAAAAAAAAAAATACTTTCAGTTCGTAAAGTTTAAGATTTTGTCCTTTCAAATTGGTGGTTAAAGTTTAGTACGTAACAATTTAGTTTTTATAATTAGGAGCGGTAACAATTTAGTTATAGCTGTGAAAACTTTTGTTGAATTTTAATATAGGTAGATCAATAAATCGATGGGGAACCAAGTGTGTTTATAAATTATAAATACTAAATCGTTATATGATAAAAAACGATACTTAATTTTAGTGAGATTTTGCATGATAGAGACTAAATTGTAACAAAATTTAAACTATAAAGACTAGATTGTTACATACTAAAATTATTCCGGGATTAAGTTGTTAATAATTTGAAAGTACCGTGTATAATTGATTAGATACTAAAGTTTAAGGATCTTGGGCTGCCTCTTGTGATGGGAAAGCAGGGGAATTGGTGTGTGGTAATTAGTTGCGGTTCTTCCAAGAAGAGAAATTTGGGATGGGTATAGTGTGTTTTCAGAAGGAACTCCATTTGTGGTGAAGCAAGGAAAACGTAGCACACTATGAAACTTTTATTGAATTGAAACTTTTAAGATGTTGAAGGGTAAATTTAGACTCGTTTGGTGACGTTCTCATTTTTTGTTTCTCGTTTTCAAATTTCATTAAGAAACTTAAGTATTTTGCAACTAATTAAAGTCAAAATTGTATATAAATTTTGTAAGCAATCAAAATAAGTTTCTTGTTTCTTGTTTGCGTTTCCAATTTATTACCGTACATAAATATAAATATTGTTTGATAATTCTTAATTAGATTCATGAGTGTTGGGCCATGTAATTTTATTTTTCTAAAAATGAAAAAAACGTAAATAAGAAACGGGAACGTTACCAAACGAGTCCTTAAAGTTCAAATCGAGTACACGAGACAAAATTTCGATGGGTAGGCTCACCTAAATGTTTGCGAACATGCACATGGATTAGGGTGACAAATATTTATTTTTGGTTTAAATACTATTTTGGTTAGTGTACTTTTAGCTTTATCTCATTTTGGTTCTTGTAGTTTCAAACATTAATTTATTTTGGTATCTGTACTCTCGACTTTTGTCAAACGTCCATTTTAATAACCTCTATAATTTTAAAATGTTACCATTTTAGTCCCTTAATTTTTATTTTTATCTCATTTCTTTTAGTCATTATTTGCATGACACTTCACTCACTAATTTTTTTTTAAATGTATATCTATAAAATTTGTATTAAAGAGTTTCCATTGTATATACAATTTGTGTTAAGTTTTTGTAAACAGGGACCAAAATTGATCACTTTTTAAAAGTATAGGGATTTGATGAATTGAAAATATAGGACCAAAATAATATTCAAACCTGTTAGGAAAAATTACTCACCAATAATATTTTCCTCTTCCACAGTTCGTCAGTGAAAACTAAGTCACACACAATACTAAGAAAAATAGGGGAAGCACAGAAAACGACACAAGCAATTTATACTGGTTCACCCTAACTATGGGCTACGTCCAATCTTCCACAACAACGGATTCTACTATGATTTTGGGATAAATACAATGAGTCTCACAAACGCTCTATAAAACTCTCTCTAGATACCACAACAATGCTCACCTAGCTTCTAAGCACTACGACAATAGCTATTTAGGAATACAGAATGAAAAATCTCACTAACCTCACGAGAACGGGTTGTCGACATAGCACTACAAACCCTTGTTCTCCTTTTGTTCTCTGCCAATTTGCCGCCACTGCCACGTTTGTGCACCAACACACGCGGCCACTCGTTTGTTTCTTTTTGGTTTCTATCACTCGCGGCTAGAAAAACCAAAACAAACAAGGAGGCTTCACAATATGTATATATATGGCAAACTTAGGTTTTAGGTTTGGGCCTTTTTTGTTCAAGTTTCTTAGCCCAGTTACATTCCTAATTTTGACTCCAATTATTTTCCCAACAATGAAACGATGAACTTGTTGGAAACTGACTCTGAATTTCTTTTGTTTGCTTCCCTCAATCCAAGAGTAAAATTAGCTTTTAAATCCAAGAGAGTTGAGAAGATGTTAGCTGTGAACGACTCATTGATCGGCCATGAACCAGATCGTGAATCGGATTTGCATATCCATTGAACACTTTTTGTGCTTGTGTGATTGATATATTATATATATAAATTTATAATCTTTCTACTTTCTATCCTTTAGAATTATTGTTGGAGATAGATTGGTTAATCACACCATGTTGAGAAGGTGCCAGATAAGTCTGATTACTTTGATGATCTACTATCAGAACAACTTATGATCATAGCACCGTTCTTAAGAAAATAAAGGGGATAGTATATCTCCATCCGGATATGCAAAAATTAAGAATATTATTATGCTTTTGATGAATTATACTAGACTTGATATTGCATATATTGTTTGTATATTGAATAGATATAGTCGTTATATATCTTGGTAAAGACCATTGGATTGTTTTTCATCATTTGGATTATTGTAGTTTAACAAGTTTCATTATGTGTTAGAAGATTATTGTGATGTAAACAGTGTTATAGATAACGATGAGGTGTCCACTAGCGAATATATGTTTCTTCTCGGTGGGGAAACTATATTCCATGGAAATCAGCAAACTGCCATAAGGATTATCTTATATTGTGATTTACAAGCTGTCATGCATAGAAATTGCAAAAAATTGTGTGTACAATGGCAAGAGAATGCATATACGCCCTGACAAATTGAGTCGCAGTGGAGTATGTGAGCTTCAAGAGAAACTTAGTAGATCCTCTCACCAAAGGTCTATCAAAAATGTAATTTTTGAGTCTTCAATATGTACGGGACTACTAAAACTCTAATGTTCGTGATGAATAATCCATAGCCCTTTATTTGGGTGGTCTATATGGACTTGATGGATAATACACTTATGCTGTGAGATGTATTATGAGAATCCATAACTTTTTATTTGGGTGGTCTTGTATAGACTTGATGGATAATGTGTAAAATCTTCATAGTGCAGTTTTTGAGTGGTTTATTTGTGATAGACTTGATGAAGCAATAACATGATTATGAAGGTATAGTCTGCCTTTTTCTATGAAAGAGTTAAAAGGGTCTTTTTCTAGAGCTTTTACGATAACTCGAGTTTTTCTCCCTCGTTAGTTTTCCACTGTTTTCTACAAGAAATTTTGAGCATATTCTTCGATTTCATTCGGTTTCAACGAGTGCATGCCTGAGTTTAAGGTTGTGTTAACCTTGGGGAGCAACCGACAAGTATATGACGTAGCACCGTGATTGTGCCGAAATTGCTTTCAAGACAGTTGTTTTTTTCTCGATACAACAATGATTCTTTTCATCTAAATTCTCCTTCAGTTCTAATAGCAATTAACGTTTTTGGCAAAGTAAAAAGGTGTCATGCTTCCATCCAAACTTGATTGTTTTTATATCGGTTAAAAAACACATTTGGTCCTTGTGAAAGGACGTTAATCCCGCAACGGATCTTGTTCTTGAATTCTTGAAGAACATAACCATATATACAAATGAAAAAGGAAAATGTAGGGGAAAAGAGACTCATTTTTGAAGAACCGTTCTTCTAGTGATTACAAGTGAACAGCACCACGACCTTCCTTGTTATGACTCCGGCAAAGATCCGATTGTGTGGGAACCGATAGTGAATACAGTGATTGAGAGAGAGAGCTTAATCAACACTTGAGGGGGAGATCCATCGTTCTGTTTTTCAGAACTTTTCTGCATAATAACCAGACTCCCCACGTCATAACTATCCCCCTCCCCCAGTATTAATATTAATAACTAATAATTAATATATATAATATTAATTAATCATATTAATTAATTAATATTAACTCATTATTAATCTAATTAATAATTAATATATATATAATAATTAACACTTGATTATTTATTACAAAAGTAGAATCATATTCTAAAACATTTCTCTCGTATAACCTATAGTTGTAATGTACATCTTATGCACGTTATTTTTAACCTATAGTTTTAATATGAATCCAATTCATATTAATTATTATTTGAATCTCATTCAAATAATTCCTCTCATAATTAATTTTAAATTTTTATCCAAAATTAATATATATAATAATGTATCAATATACATTATATATGTTCCCTT